AGGAGAAAAATATTAGTAATCAAAGTAGCTTTACATTAATACACTATCTTGATCAGGATTTCCAAATGTAGAGGTTAGGAAACACGCAGGATTTCAAATAATCTGGGACGACGTACCTTTATTAATTGAATTATTTTTCACACTTTTAAACGAACTGTACAAACAACAATACAATTGCGTATACATATGATTACAATGCATAAAACTGTACAATTTATCCGGTTAATTGAATATTTCTGTCGGTGGAAAAAAATCTTAACTATTAATTAATTGTTCCTTTTCCTAATGTGGGAGTAAAGTTTTACGATGAAATTTTAAATTATTATTATTATTATTATTTATTAATAAATAACTGAGGTAATACGAGTTTTGTAGGTGATTTGTTTTTTCTTCTGTTTTTATAAGACGCAAGCGTGTCTTAAATCTAATTAGATCTTCTTCTTACGGCCCTGATGATATCGAAACACACACGCGTGTCGAGATTCGCGATACGTCCCTATGTATGCGTACACTTCGTGCACATACACATCGGTTTGTGTAATACAACGAGAGTTTACTTGTGTATGGGTTGGTGGCTTTGGCATGAGGGTTTGCCTTGTTACAGAATGATGCTTCGCCTTCGATATGGAGTGGAGGACTATAGTTTTGACGGTGTTGGCAGTGAGTCTGTGTTTTGCTGTAATACCGATTCGGGTTGGCCCGGATGTCAGCACGGAAGATGTTAAGCTTTTCGAGGACTATGTTACGCGTTACAACAAATCTTACAAGAACGAGCCCGAGGAATACGATAAAAGATTCAAGAGGTTTCAGGTAAGCATTCGCGATTCATGAGAGAATTCGATAACATGTGAGTACTATGTACATACTTGACATGATACGGCTTCAGCGATACATATTCATTTCGGTCTATTCGTGCCTGCAGTTTTGAAAATTTCCCGCGTTCATATCTGCGATCTTATTTTCTTTCTTCTTTTCGAAATCGCGGGAATCTTAGCATTCGAAAACAGTGTTTCGATGATGTTTAAAATTGTTCAAAATAGTATTTGCTGTAGTATAGTATAGCATCGTTCTGCCAATGTCACATTATACTATGCTAGTTCAGATTACACTACGTCACAATATTCTATTATAGTAGTTCACTATACTGTATGCTGTGTATGTAGTGGTAAGCATCATTATAATAAGTTTGAAGTACAGAGTGGTATTTTATATACTATAACATTAAGTACAATATATAGTAATACAACTATCATGTTGTATTTTTACCGTATTTTTGTTGTATATTTACCGTTAATGCCAAATGATGATAATACGTTCATAGTAACATGATAGTTGTATCACTATATTGTACTCAATGTTATAGTATATGACTTATATAATTATAATACATATATATACTTATAAGTATATATAATAATATATAATATAATATATAAGTATATATATGTATTATAATTATATAAGTCATATACTATAACATTGAGTACAATATAGTGATACAACTATCATGTTACTATGAACGTATTATCATCATTTGGCATTAACGGTAAATATACAACAAAAATACGGTAAAAATACAACATGATAGTTGTATTACTATATATTGTACTTAATGTTATAGTATATAAAATACCACTCTGTACTTCAAACTTATTATAATGATGCTTACCACTACATACACAGCATACAGTATAGTGAACTACTATAATAGAATATTGTGACGTAGTGTAATCTGAACTAGCATAGTATAATGTGACATTGGCAGAACGATGCTATACTATANTATATAATCGTTAACGTAACGTCTGTTCAAACAGCTGCGTCTTTATTGCAGAGATCGTTGCGGCACATAGACACAATGAACGGCCTTAGATCTTCACGGGAGAGCGCTTACTTTGGACTTACCAAATACTCGGACATGTCCGAGAATGAATTTCTGACCCAAACACTTGTTCCGGATCTTCCTATAAGAGGTGGGACACGCTCAGAACAAACTACTCTCGATAGCTTATTGCAATACCTATCCATATTTTATTAAAGAAGATATATCTATTAACTGAAATAACTGTACAATGTTCCATCTGACTTGATAACCAAAACATTGAACCCTTACGTAGGCAACCGGGTACGCAGCCATATATTTGCTATATATTTCTCTCTTTTAACAAGTTTTTAAGTTTCTCTGAAAATATCACAAAACTCTGGGTATTCATTTTCTGGATACTATTTCATCGATTTATAATTTTAAAGTATTTATATATATTATTATATAATAATATTATTATATTAATATATTATATATATTATTATACATTAATATTATAATATTATATTATTATATAATTATTATATATATTTATGTAAGAAATGTTAAATACCAAGGTTTTGAAATTGTTCATACATTTCGGTTGCCTATGGGGAGGGGGGGAAGGGGAGGTAAAACGTTCAAGTTAGACAGAGAGACAGTCTTTTCAGGCGCAAAAAATGTGGTCCCGAGCGTGAGTGGTAATGAGTATAAATAAATTAACAAACATCTACGACGAATGAATGCATTTTGCGTTAGGAGAAAGGCACTTGATGGCATCCTACCACCAGTGCCATCACCAGCGACGGTCTGGCAACCGGGTGAGAAGATCTATCGGCGTGCCGGCGAAATTCGACTGGAGAGAGAAAGGTGTGGTGTCTCCTGTGCAAAGTCAAGGGACCTGCGGTGCTTGTTGGGCCTTCAGCACTGTCCAAGTGGCAGAATCAATGTTTGCGATCAAAAATGGCACTTTGTACCCACTGAGCGTCCAAGAAGTACGTCTACTTGTTCTTCAGAATTACCCGGTTCTACGAAATGCTTTAGAATTCTTGAATCGTTTAATGGCTATTTATCTGAACTATTGACAGATGATCGACTGCGCAAAGAATAGCAATTTTGGTTGCGAGGGAGGGGACATCTGCAGCTTGCTCTCGTGGTTGGTGTTGACAAAAGCGGCGATACTTCCAGCGTCCGTGTACCCGCTTACGCGAACGACGGGTACGTGTAGGCTGGACAAGTAAGTGATATTCGTATAATTTATATTTAAACCGCGTGATGCGAATAACAATTAATATGATTATAATTTTAGGACGTTGACGAAGGGGACCAGCGTTCGAGTAAAAGACTTCACGTGCGACAAGTAAGGCTCTGTAACTCTAGATCACGGGATCAGCGCACGCGTATCGATTTCACTGCCTCCAGGAAAAGAGCTGACACTTCCAAGAAAAAAAAACTGACATTCAGAAATCAATAGCCTGAATCGGAGAAACGGCTAGGCAGAGCACTTAATTTGTAAAGTAGCGACGAGCATCGGTGCCGTTGAGTTATTTGCGAGCGATTAAGTGTAAAAGGTTTTCTTACGTAAGCCGATCGCTCAGCATTGCTCTCAATGTCGTCACACGGTGACGACGACGAATATACAAGATATGCCAGTGTGTTCTTATTACTAGACTGCGAGTCTTTAGGCAAAATAACAATTTTCTTCGTCGTCTATGTCAAATAGAAGCGACAGTAATGTAACAGTTTTCTTTTCTTTTTTTTAAAATTCTTCTTGTTTCCTCACTGTTCTGCGTTTCGTTCATCCATTTTTACTATTTTGCAGTCTAATTTGCAGTCTACTTATTATCGGCTCACTGACAGGAATAGACACGAATTTGAATCGCGATTTTGGTCCAAGAATTGTCGACTGCCGCTATTGAATTAATGAATTCGAACGCGGCAGTTTCCTATGTAATTGGCAATCACTTGCAGCGTTTGGCATTAAGAGGATTAAAGGCTTAACGGGCGTTAGTTTCGTAGATGCAGAGGATGATCTGCTGGCAACGCTCGCTACGCATGGACCAGTCGCGGCCGCGGTCAACGCTCTATCTTGGCAGAACTACTTGGACGGAGTGATGCAGGATCATTGCGATGGCTCTTTCGCTAGCCTGAACCACGCTGTACAGATAGTCGGCTACGACAAGACGGCGGCCATACCGCATTACATCGTCAAGAATTCGTGGGGCACCGGCTTCGGCGATAAAGGCTACATGTACATTGCGATAGGCAGTAATTTATGCGGTACGATTAATTTTGCTTTGCGAAATATGTTAACGCGGGCGCTTATCGCGCTTATCGTATTTATTAGGCACGTTAAACACGACCCTCGGGGTCGGCAAATATCAACAAAAATATTTTTGTTGTTGTCATTCGACCGTTAGGTCAGTTTCGCGCGAGCGGAGCGGGCGAGAAAAATGCCAAAGAAAAGTGCAACGATCGTGATACGGGTTATAAATAACCGAAGTATTATTAAGCAATTGACAAGTAGGTTGTAAGCAAATCGACAGAACAAATTGACAGAAATGAATTGTGTTTCGACAGGTATAGCAAACCAAGTCTCGTCGCTGGATCTACTCTAAGCCGCTAAATGAGACAGGACGAAGAGTCGAACGTGATTGGCTTGAAATAAAGTGCTCATATTGGCCCGTAAATGTACATAGCCTATGAAAGTATTTTAATCAAGGTAATCATTGTTACGACGCCTGTTGTTATATAAGTATAAATACTAACAAGTATTCTGTCGCGAGACGGTTCACACGACTGCTCTAATTTTTACAAACTTCTTAACGCGCGCCAAGCGTTAGGCTGTAATAAAAGATTTCATTTACCAACGCTATGCTTAGTTCCTATGCGGTTTCCTCTTGTTCTGTATTTCCAAAATGTTTCCTGAGAAACATATCATGCGTATCGTCGTCGTCGTCGTCGTCGTCGTCGGGCCGCGAACATTCGCTTACGTGTCCTCGAGCGTGCATTCGGAGTTGTTCTGATTGTCGTCCGGGCTCCATCCGTTGCAGGCGATCGACAACTTCGTCTTCATCTGCTTCGTCAACGGCGGGATCATTTGTCTGGGTATCAAGAACGTGGACAGGTTGAACAGATCCAAGAAGACTTTGTATCTGTCGCTGAAACGTAAAAGTTCGTCTGTGAAGCAACGTAGATACTAAATGCTCCGGTCTCTAAAAATATAAACGATCACCGCCCGACGGTGATTTCGCTTGATAACAATCAAGTCAATTTATACGAGCGTTCAGATGCCGGGCACACCCGCGGATAGAGTACCTCAACGTGGACTTCAAGTAATGGTAGCCGGAAGAACCGCCAGTTCCGAGCTGCTGCGACCCAATCATCCTTTGCACCATGAGAACATGATTATCTGGTGGACAAATCGCAAATGTACTATTTCCAATCTCGAACGGTGAACGGATACGGGGACCGATTGTGTTTTCTTACACCTCCATTTCGTGATAAGGGAGTCGATGTCCATCAGCGCGGTCAGGATCTGATGGGGTTGGCTGAATCTCGGCTCGTCGCGGTACAATGTGATCATCACGGCCCCTTGAAGGGCCCCGTAGGCGAATTTCCGTTCGCCGCGCGACACGAGGGCGTTGTGAAGAGATTCGTTGAAGATCGTCTCGAAGGCCGCTTGTCGCGAACGCACGGTGGACAGATAATGATTCTTGAGCTGCTCCGTCGCCTGTTTCTGAAAGGAAGTATCAACGATAAAAATCCCTCGATCCGAAAGTTCGATCACGCAGTCGGTAGCAGCCAATTACTCGGGCGAATTGTTCCTGTTCGGCGAGCAGCGTCTCCACGGATCTCTTGTACTTTCCCCAGAAGTCGAAGTCGTGGCTCTCGAGGCCCGGCGTCCTCGCCAGCCATCCTTGAACCAGACAGCTGAGACTCGGCTCCTCCTCGGACCGTTTGATCGCCTCGATGGCCTTCGGATCTCTGCCGAAGGCTCTGGCGTAACTTTGATTGTACTTCACCCTGTGCTCCTGCTTCACGCCCAGCTTGTTCTCCAGCAGCCGGAACTGCAGCGACTGGAAGCCCGAGGCTGGGCACAGGTAGTCCCTGAACGCCATGAAGTCCAGGGGCGTCATGGTTTCCAGGATCGTCACTTGCTCCACGAGAAGCTGAAGAGGACCAACACCGCTGTACAGACGCTTTCGCGACAACCGCCACGATAACCGGATCGCGCGTTATATGTATACAGAATGACATAAAAAGGTGTTCGTACATCTTCTAAAACATAACTCGAACGATTCGAATTTGTTTTTAGATGAAAGCGGGACTAGTCTACTGAACGTTAACTATTGGGTTGTCCGGAAAGTTCGTGCCGATTTTCGGTAGGTAGTGTGAGAGACCTAACCGAATATATCACAATTATTGAAAACAAATGACATGTGTACATATTCTAAAAGAGATAACCTCAGTCATATTTGCAAAGAAGCTTGTGTGTGTGTGGTTACGATTCGTTAATTTTTATCAGTTTCGTACGCCCTAGAATATGGTGGCAAATAAAGTGCATTATAGGCATTTGATGCTTTTCTTTTTCCGAAAGGGCAAAAATGCCACACAAGCGGCAAATAAGATATGCACTGTTTATGGCGAGGATGCTGTAGCCGAAAGAACTGTGCGGAAGTGGTTTGCTCGGTTTAAAGCTGAAAATTTCGACCTTGAAGATCAAGAACGCCCGGGTAGACCGTCCACCACAGACGAAGATACGATTAGAACATAAATCGAGAATAACCGACGCTCAACATTACGACAATTAGCAGGAATGCTAAATAAATCAAAATCAATCATCCGCGATCGTACTGTGAAGCTTGGCTCCAATATTTAAATGGGCTGCGTTTTAATTTTCCTAAAAAATCGGCACGAACTTTCCGGACAACCCAATAAAACGCCTTTGTTTTTTTTTAATTTTCCTACTACTTGGGACGACAAAGAAAAAGTTAAAAAAAGCTCTCGTTTATTTAACTTCTTTTATCCGAGCCTATAACAAAAATGAAAAACAAGCATTTTGGTCATCGTCCGCTCGATCAGTCTCCCTCTTTCACCTAAAAACAAATTCAAGTCGTTTAGTCCAGTTTTGCGGGCCGCTGTAGAACACACGACGATGCTTTAAATTCCTAGCAACCGTTACACTCGTTCTGCGAAACGACCGCCTACGAATTTAACAAGCGCGGCAACCAATTCGATTCTCGGCCCGACGGTTTTCTCTTTACAAATCTACGCTTCGTTTCCGGACGAAGAAGCAGCGTTATCCTGATTTGTACGATCGCGCAATCACGTATGCTACAGTCTTAGCATTCGAGGGTATCAATTGTTCAATTTCGCCGGGGACTCGCGCCTCTAAATAACGAATTGTCTACAGCTGGTTTGTACAGATAGAGAAAAAAAAAGAGAAAGAGAGAGAGAGAGAGAGAGAGAGAGAGAGAGAGAGACCCGTAATCGATCTTGTCCGCGACTGAGAAGACCCCGTGTCTGCAATTGTATGGTTGCCACCCTTGCGCTTCAGTTACGTAGGGTCAAAACGACCCTTGACAAATTCTAGCTGGTTGCTCGTTACGGCGGAACAAGAGATTCCCGGGCGGAGAAACAACAACAACAACAACAACAAAAGAAAAGAAAATCCTGGCGGATGATCCCGCAACGAAGCGACCGCGCCGCCGCCCCCTATTTTTCTTCGTTCGATCGGCGGGCCTCCTCGGCGCAGTCATGGGAAATCGTCGGCGGGAATCGATCATCCCGCGACGAACAGAGAGACCTGGCTGCTCGCTTGCTTAACCCTGCGCCGGCGATTTTTCCATTTGCCGGCGAGACGAGAAAATGCGACGACCACACCTGCATTCTGCGGTATAGAAAGAGCGCCAACGAGCCAGTTACCTAACGCATCTATGCGTGTCGGCGCGGGGTGTCGCATATCATCCGGCGGTGTTGACTTACCCGGGTCCCACTGTTATTCCTGTAGTTCCCACAATCTTACCGATTCGATCGCGAATGGGGTCGGTGACGCGGGGAGAAACGGGGGGAACGCGAGGGAAACGCCGTCGACGGAAAAAGAGTGTCGCGCTCGACGGAACCTTGACCCGTTTGCCGCGACCGTCCGTCCGCGCGGAATTATCGGCTATCGAAATCGTCCACGGCCGTGACGGATGTACAGGATGTTGGAAAAATCCGATCGCGGCCTTATCGTCGCCTTATATCGGCGCGACGACAGACCGCGCGCGCGGGGTTTCTAGAGGCCTTCGACGACTTCGCTGTGAGTTCTGTTCTGCGACGCGCGATCCGTTCTTCGGGCCGTGAAATTCGGCAATTTTCCGTTCCCGAAGACGATCAGACGTTTCTTTGTTTTCTATTCGCACGGTGCAAGCTCTATCTGCTTGACGCTATGTTACAAATTGAAACCGTAATTCGTCGCTCTAAAGAGCGACGGAGGAACGAGCGAACCGTTAACCTTTCGGTACGGCTGAATTCTGCGCGAGGCTGTTTCTCTGGACGGCAGAGTCCGATGTGTACTGTACAAAAATGTCTCGCAATCCGAAAGTGGCGGGTTCCTCGGGCCATTCGAAGCAACTTTTTCCTTTACAAAAATGTTCTCCGAGGCACCGTTAACGAGTTATTAGCGAGAAACAGTGACCAATGAGAGGCGAGCTCGGCTGGCGCGAGGCGATCGAGCCAATGAGCGGAACTGGGCTTCGCGCGCTGGTTGGTTGGGCCGCCTCGCGTCAGCCGTACTCGATTCTTATTGGTCACTGTTTTTCGTTGATAACTCGTTAACGGTGTCTCGGAGAAAATTTTTGTAAAGGAAGAAGTTGCTTCAAATGATCCGATGAACCCGCCATTTCCGGATTGCGAGACATTTTTGGGACACCCTGTAGACTGTTGTAAATCGATGCGAAGACAAAAGAAGTGTGAAACAATGCATACGAAGACGATTATTTGGTACAAACGATGAGCGAGTGAGCTGCTAGAGCAAGCCACTGTAGTGGCGCATCGTCCAGAGAGATGACATCCGCGAAAGCCACTATGGTGGCGTGTCATTCTGAAAGATGACATCCGCGAAAGCCACTATAGTGGCGCGTCGTGTCTAAGAGGTTAACTTAGGCTGTTCTTCGAGGAAGGCTGTGCGAGACGATGCGCGGAACATTGATCGATTAATGCGTCGCGCAGCGTAGAACGTGCTATGGACGATTGAAAAACTGTAGAACGTTGCCGGCGAAGGGTTAAAGCGACGTTCATGGGGACACCCTGCACCGAAGACGGCTAGAGACGGGCGCTGCGAACCCCTCGAGAGGAGACCCATCCAAGAAATTCGATTAGAGTCACCGCGAGCGGATCAGCACCCCTGTCATAAATCACAATGCTCTAATTGGCTTGCGATTAAGGGTCGTTCACGTTCCTTCCATCACTGTCATTGTCAACGGTATGGTTACTGGCCTCGTTCCGCGCGTATCGTATTATCCTGCGATGCGATCACGCCGCACCGGAATACTCTATTTGCTCTCGTTCTCCGCCTCTCTTCATCCATCTTTTCTCTCTCTCTCTCTCTCTCTCTCTCTCTCTCTCTCTCTTATACACGCACACACTCTTTATCTCTCTCTATTTATTTATCTGTCCGTTTATCTATCTATCTATCTGTCTACAGTAATTTCTCCCGGAAATGCCAAATTTCGGGTTGCTGCGAATTTCTCTCTGTTAATACTACGCCTATGTAATTTATTGCTACGTCGATGCTAATAGGATTATTCGAGCGTCGCGGCTCGTTTTTATAGTTACAGTAATTTCTCCCGGAAATGCCAAATTTCCGGTTGCTGTGAATTTCCCTGTGCCAGTCCTACGCCTATGTAATTTAAATCTATTTAATAGGGTCGACCGTCGAATCGTGGCACATGGCCACCGAATTGCCTTCGAATCGTGGCAAAAACTTAGAAATAAAAAGATCAGCCAACAGGGATCGGAATTGAAATCGAAAATTTGTCAAAATTCATCTCGGTCGCTTCGGACCGCGATAAAGTAGAAAGACAAAATCGGAAGATCGAAAACTTTGACGTCGTCCGAAAGAGAAGACTCTGATATTGAAGATCGTGGTAAACGGAATCGTGGAAAAAATTTGTCAAACCCTGGAGAGACGTTTGAATGCGGACTTACCGAGGAGGTCATTTTCGCCAATGAGAAAATCTTTTCCATTGGAAACGATTTAGGGAGATTATAGTAGAGACTTTCTCAAATTCATCTAGACGGTATAGATTATTTTACAATTATCATTTGCCCCGACTGCCCCGAGTGTCTATAAAAACGAGCCGCGAGGCTCGCGAAGAATCGCGACTCAGTATTCTCGAATCCGCCGGTTTCAATTCCGACCTCCGAACATTTCTGGGAGAAATTACTGTATCTATCTATCTATCTGTCTATCTATCTATCTATCTATCTATCTATCTGTCTATCTGTCTATCTATCTATCTGTCTATCTGTCTGTCTATCTGTCTGTCTATCTGTCGGTCTATCTGTCTGTCTATCTGTCTGTCTATCTGTCTGTCTATCTGTCTGTCTATCTGTCTGTCTATCTATCTGTCTATCTATCTGTCTATCTGTCTATCTGTCTATCTACCTATCTATCTATCTGTTTATCTATCTATCTATCTATCTGTCTATCTATCTAATCTATCCATTTATCTCAATGTCCTCTCATTCCTTCTCAGCGAATCTTTATATCAGCTGCCACGAAGATCCGATCATCTCACGGAGATCCCGCGAGGATCCCACCGATATATCTCGCTTACTTTTAGGATGAGGACGATGCGGTTTAATNTATATATATATCTGTCTATCTATCTGTCTGTCTATCTGTCTGTCTATCTATCTGTCTATCTATCTGTCTATCTGTCTATCTGTCTATCTACCTATCTATCTATCTGTTTATCTATCTATCTATCTATCTGTCTATCTATCTAATCTATCCATTTATCTCAATGTCCTCTCATTCCTTCTCAGCGAATCTTTATATCAGCTGCCACGAAGATCCGATCATCTCACGGAGATCCCGCGAGGATCCCACCGATATATCTCGCTTACTTTTAGGATGAGGACGATGCGGTTTAATCTCTTCAGGATCTCCAGGGTCCTCGACTCGTTCAGAACCTGGGAGAGCCGATTCTTCTGGGAGGAACGGTTGTTCGCGGTCCCATTCAAAGCCGGATCGTAGCTGCTCGGCTCCGAGTTGAAGAGCGTCCTGACTGTGTCCAGCTCGTAGATGATCTGCTTGAACCAGAGTTCGTACGCTACCATACGGACAGCAAAACGTATTCGATGAGCATTAGTTATCAAAGGAGTTCGACGGTGGAGGACGGCCGGCGGATTTTGTTTTCGAGACGTTCGATCGGCGATCGCTTCTCTGGGAATCGTTCCGGGTATAGTTCGAATTCGCTTCGACTTGTGAATCATCGTTAAAAGCATTTTAACGGAAAATGACTGGACGTTAGCCTAATCGGTGACGCGTGTTACGCTCCGCGAGATACCCGAGGATAATGATCGCGAAATTATATAGTGAACGCCGAGTGAAATTCCATCGACCGATAGCCTAATCGTTGTGCAATGTTGCACGCGCGCCGTCTTCTTTTTCTTTTTTTTTCTTTCTTTTTTACGTTATTTTGTACTTTTCGCTTTCGGTTGCTTTTTACACGCGTCGACGTGAAATTACCAGCCGATTCAGCCGAATCGATTTGTACGAGCTTTCTTTATGCAATAGTTCGACATTTCGGCGAACGAAATTACGTTTGTTCCCATCGTAAAACGATAGAAAACTGATCGCACAGCAGTGCTCGGCAGCGTTTATTATTAAAATTCTCTGTAACGACTGCGAATGCGCTGGCCCCCGGCGATGGGCTGTCGTAAAGCTGCGACGAGGCGCGGATTTTGGGAGACCGATACGCAGGGGTACGGAAATGATTTTGTTCTCCTCCTACGCTGCTCGCAGCTTTTTTTTTTCTCGGCAAGCGAACGAGATCCGCCTGTTAGTTAATATTGTTTGCCGCGGATCTTTGCGCGTAATAAAAATTCTTGGACATAATTCGTAAAGTTTAAAGTTTATCAAAAATTGATTTCCCGCACGAGTTATCTTGGCATGCAACCACCCCTGGCATAAAGTATTCGACCACCTTTTGAAAGAGCGAACCGGTCTAATCGACTTGAATCTTAATATTAGTATTAATATTAATATTTTACTATTAATAATTACTATTTTACTATATATTAATATATTAACCGCTTATTATATATTATATATTGATAACAATAATATTGTAAGTATATTATAATATAATAATATTATAATATACTAATATATAATATAATATAATATATATAATATAATATATTATTATTATTATATATTAATATATGTTAAAATTATTAATAAAATTATTAATTGAAGTTATATATATAATTTATCAATATATTAATATTAATACTTCTTAATTTTAATATTTTCGAATATTATAATATTTAAAATAAAAATTGCGATTTTCGCGTACGATCTAGTAACGCCGGGGGTCGAAAGACAGGCGCTAACGTATTTACCCTGATGCGTGATGATGAATAGATGCTCGTCGTGCACCTCCTTGCTGTATTCGGAGCTGAGTAATCTCTGCGCGGTCAAGATTTTGTCCAATCGAAGATACTCGCCGTAAAGCATGCCCGGCCCTTCCGTCAACTGGCCGTTCTCTTGGTCGCGATCCTCCCTAGAATTTAAATATCACTGTCGAATTACACAACCGCGAGCACCGCCGCACCCTCCCCCCCCGTCATTTATAATCGATCGAGCCGGTTGATTAACATTTCGATCAACATCGCGATCGAACATTACTAATTTCGCGGGTAGCTCCGAATCGACGAAATTCAGACATGCACGCGGGTCTAATAATAATGCTCGCCGTTAATTATAAATCTATTCGCTGTCGCGGGATGGCCGATAGCAATTAATAACGTTCAATGGTAGGCGCTGAACAATTTATTCGTAACCGGCGAAGACCAATTTCCGTAACGACGGGACTCGTTATTAACCACGACCGTTTAGCCGTTCCGTTTAATCCACCGTTTGATCCGCCGCCGCCGCCGCCGCCGCCGCGCCAACACCCCCGAAACGGCACCCCGAACTTTTAACCCCTAAAACGCACTGTCGGGGCTGCCACTTAACAGAGCACCATGCCCGGTTCGCGTCGAATCGATGCCGGCCGTTCATTCGACTGTTCGGCTATCCGAGGCGATTCTCCGCTGTTGTTGTCCACGTTGCGTTCGCAATTATTGCTAAAATTGTCGATTGATTTTCGCGGCCGCGAGAAGAAAATTCCTCCGCCGAAGAAGAAACGCCGCGTAACGCCTTAAATCCCGATTACTTACGCGATCGCGTCCGACAACGGGCAGGCCATATTTTTCTGTCTGCTGCGATCACGTCGAGAGACGAAGGACAAGAAAACGAGGAACGACTTTTCGAAGTACCGAATCGGAACTCTCGGCGATCCTCTAATTGCGGAAAGTTCGTCGTTCGTAGGCGCGCACTTGTTCCTTCACCGATCTTCGGGGCGGATTTCCGCGCGAGACCGTCGTTCCGTTGCGGAAAACTCCTCGGAACGTTGTTCACGAACTTCTCGGCCGCGGACGACGGACGTCGGTGTGTCCTTTTAGAGCGACATGTCGTCGGGTTTCACACGGGAGCGCGAGCTAGCTCGGTCGGACGGGAGGCAACGAGCGACGCATGCTGTCGACGAGCTGGTTAAGCCGTGACTAAAAACTGAATGGCCATCGCGCTCGCGAAACTATCCCCCTTTTATATTTCGACGAGCGGAGGAGAGCACGTGAATGAACCGCACGAACGATCGAAGATCATCGCCGCGTGTTTTCTCTCTAAAACATATTTCTATTAATAAAAGTCCGCGCGCGACGCGGCGACGCGTCCTTCGGCCTTATCGTTATGTGAAAAAAACAACAACAATATTCGCTCCGTTATCGTTGATTTTCTGCGACCGGTTGATGTAACCGGCCGTAGAAATCCGTCACGAAATGAAAACATTCGCGATGTTTCCGCGAAGATAGCGCGCGCGCGCGCGCCGTTTCCAACGCGTTGGATCGCAAAAATCTCGCGGAATGTTTATCCGGATCGTTCGGCGATCGTTCTCGATCGTTCAATGAATAATTATCGCGACGATAAACCGAGTCCCGGAGCAACGCGAATATTTTATTTCGCGATCGACGGCAGGTGCGAAACGCCCGTGTTCGCCGTTTTTTTTTTTTTATTATTATCGGCGGAATTCGAGGAACCGTGGAAGAGAGCCGGTGAAAGGCGACAGCGAACGCCAACGACGAGTTAACTCGTCCTCACCGCGCCCGTTGAGGATTGTGTTACAAGAATGGACAGGGCGCGTATTCGTAACCGGGGATATTTAAGTGTATATAATTACAGGCTAATATACCGTGCGATCTTGTACAAATTTTGTAATATCTAATTCGAACCGGAACGATACAATCGGATTTTCCGAGCGATGCATTTTTTTGTTTGTTTCGACAGAGATTTGCGTAATGACCATGGTCCGTTGCGTTAAATGCAAAGTAAATAATAGAATTTGGTTTTGTACGATGCGCTGCGAGAAAATAAAATATAGAATAGAAATATAATATAGAAATATATTTCATAGAAATATATAATATAGAAATATATAATATAGAAATATAATATAGAAATATATAATATAGTAATATAGAACTATATAATACAGAAATATATAATATAGAAATACATATAATATAGAAATATATAATACAGAAATATAATATAGAACTATATAATACAGAAATATATAATATAGAAATATATAATACAGAAATATAATATAGATATATATAATACAGAAATATAATATAGTAATATAGAAATATATAATATAGAAATATAATATAGAAATATATAATATAGAGATATATAATATAGAAATATAATACAGAAATATAGAAATATAATATAGAAATATGTAATATAGAAATATAATATAGAAATATATAATATAGAAATATAGAAATATAATATAGAAATATGTAATATAGAAATATAGAAAAATATAATAAAAAAATATAGAAATATATAATACAGGATTATAGAAATATAATATAATATAGAAAATTGACAATGTTGTTCTATTATTGAATCAGACGAGTTACTTCGTCGAATAAAGATTTGATAAAATTCAATTTCAACATCGTTCACTTGCAAAAAACCGAACCGTGAAACCCCATTCGAAACTAGGAGTTTGTTATCACGGTAAAAATTGATATTCCGCAGGCCGCGCATGCGGTCGAGATCGCAAACAACGTTGTAAACAGTTGTTTCTCTCCTGCGGGGAGCAATTTAAATCGATACAAATAAACTGTATCTGATGCAAAACGAAAAAAGAAAATCGAATCAAACAGACGGAAGTATCGGATTCACTTTGAATATCGTTCGAGTCGTGGTTCGCGTCGCGTCCGACAGATGGCGCGTCCAGTACGCTTTCGAGTCGTCGTTACTTCACGATCCGTGCGCGACAGATGTCGCTGCTGGTATCGCAACCGCGGCGGTTACGGAGCAGCCGCTGTACAATTAATTCGTCGTTAGACGAATCGTCGAAAAAGATCTACGAGACCGGAAATCGAGCCAGAAACAATTTGTTTAGGAAATTCTTCGCGCGATTCTTGCAGGATAAATGTTGTTTTTATATTCTCCAGCAAAATGTCGTAGAGTTTTTGTATCTGTCGCTTGTTCTCCGAACTATTTTAACAATGCTTTTTTTTATCCGCGATGCACGCGATTTCAACGAGCAACAATTTAGGTTGAATATCAAAATAATTTCACATGTATTTTTTACATCGTTCTCACGGAATTTCTATTCGTTACGGATACATCGACGCGTGCACGATAAGAATAATTATTATGGATAATAAATAAATGACATGCAGATATAATAATATATAAAATAAATGTATTATAGATATAATATATAGAATGAAAATATAATAGATACAATATATGATAGATATAATGTATAATAGATATAATAGATATAAATATAATATATATATATATAATGTAGAAATATATTATATAGAAATATATAATACAGAAATATAATATAGAAATATATATATATATATATATATATATATTTGTATATTATATTNAATATAGAAATATATATATATATATATATATATATATATTTGTATATTATATTTCTATATCTCTATATTATATATATATATATATATATATATATATATATTTATATATATATATATTTATATATTATATTATATTATTATAATAAATAATAATTATAATATACATATTATATATATTATATTTATATCTATTATATCTATCATATATTGTATATATCTATTATTATATTATCTATTAGTATATATATAGATATAGATATAATATACAATAGATACAAAATAAATATAGATACAGAATAATAATTCGCCGCAAAATAACTATGGTTTTGTCGCACAGTGTTGCATCGAGCACGGCGCAACAGGTGCGCGGATCGGCCAAGAATCTTTCTAATCAGTTTCGTACATGTACGAAACAGCGATAAAATCCTTCAAGAATCGACTTCGCGTCTTCCATTCGCGTATCATTCGTATTACATAACATTATTTGTAGTAAACGCGCAGATAATTGTCCTCCCTTCGCGGTGTGCGTCGTCGATGATACCGATGGATACCAACGAATGCAAAGTTTTCGTACATATATTCTGCGTACATTCTCGAATCACACGTTCTCAGTCCCTAATCTGCTCACGTTTACATTTCCAACGCTTACCTTATAAGCGTGCAATTATCGTAATCTGTAACGCGATACAGATTTATAGCGGTAAGTACAGTTTCGCGATAAGCAAGCCGAAAGTTTTCAGCATTCGAGACCAAAAAAAGACGCGTAGACCTGAACGTAAGTAACGCGTGTAGACCTAAACACATGTGTCGCCTAAATTTGAAAAACAATTTTTTAACTCTCCAGCGCGGTCGTGGAAGCGTCGAAAGCGCGATTCTCGGAGGAAAAATCCGGTTATGCCGGGGTTACGACGGGTAAACATTGACACGATTCGAACGGTCCACCTGAAACGTTCGCGAGCTCGAATCGTTCGCATAATCGAACGACACGAAACACGTCACCGATGCTCGCCGAGTGCAGCATAATCGGTGCGCAACATATAACGCGTCTCGCGTTACAAAGTATCGGCTCCAGATCGCGCGCTGTCTGCAAGAGGAACGCGGTCCGATCAGTTAGTTGGTTCATCGGTTCATCGCGGACACAGTTTACGTTGGTAGAGTGCCGGGTGTTATCGGTCCCCCGAGTTAGCATAAGCTGCGACGGACCAATCCGCTTTCTTTCATTTCGTCAATTTCCGCGGGCTGATTAGAGGGGCGGTCGAATAAAATTGGTCGTCGCGGTTCGCGGCTTCCTAGAACGTCGTTCGGATCCAGCTCGTCAGGTACGTATGGGCTCGCGCGACCGCACATAAAATTCCACGTCGCCCCGCGTTTATCATTGGGTTGGCAACTAAGTAATTGCCGATTTGTTCGATGAAATAAAAAATTTCTTTTTTACTTGGAACGAAGTTTAATCTGTAATGTATTTTCCGTTTTGTTCGACGACCTTTTGCCATCTCTCTGACAACTTGAAAATTCCAGGCTCGTAGAAAGTCTGATCCTTTTCGGCCAAAAACTGAGTTAAGTGAGATTTGACAGCGTCGTCGTCGTTAAAAGTTTTACCACGAAGGGAGTTGTCCAGGGATCGAAACAAGTGGTGATCCGATGGCGCGAGATCAGAGCTATATGGTGGGTGTAACATCGATTCCCAAGCAATATCCATGAATTTTTGCCGAGTGGACAAAGACGCGTGCGGCCTAGCATTGTCCTGCTGGAAAATGACACCGTTACGATCGACCAATTCTGGTCGCTTTTCCTTGACCGCTGCATTCAATTTGTCCAGTGGCTAACATTCACGGATAATAAAAAATAACATAATAATAATAATAATAATTTTATAATATAACATTTACGGATATCATAAAAATGGGAGCGAGAGACATCTATAACTGAAATCGGCAATTACTTAGTTGCCAACCCAATATTTTCCGTTCGAACAACAGAGTGCTACGATTTTCTCGATCCAGATTCGCCGGACGTTCCGCCGGCCGATTCTGTTCGATAACGGATTTGCGTGCGACGGTGCCCGAACGAGGGAGTAAATCGAGATGAGAATCGACGTTCGACTTCTTTGTGCAAATATCTATAGTGGTGCAGTAAAAAGAATGCAGTAAATATAGTATATCATAATATAATAATAATATAAATATAGTAATACAATAATATATATAAATATAATATGTCATAATATAATAATAATATAATAATATATATAAATATAATATATATTAGTATTATTATTAATGTTAACAACTATAAAAAGTAACACTAAAATAATATAATATAATATATTATAATATAATAATAATATAATAATATATATAAATATAATATATATATTATTATTATTATAATATTTATATATAAAAATATATCGCAAATATTTTCAAATATTATACGACGAGTCAGCATGACCGTCGAAAAAATTCGACGTATCATCATCGATTAGAAATGTTGCAAGATAATTCACGGAGCGTGAAACATACGCTCTGTTGCTATTTGCGGGCGCACGATAATACGCGCGCCGGTTGTGTAACATCTTTCGGATGAAACTCTGCCGTCGCGGGTAAAAGCTCGAGAGATCACTGCCACCGAGTTCGCGAAATCGGACGGATTTTATTTTATCGTCGAATTAAAACGATACGAACGAATTCTTTCCGGTTTCGCTTATCTTCTCGTGCGCCATCATTTCGGATCCTGCCGAAATCTCTCGGAGCGAGATTATCGGTTCGAAGAACCCACAGCGCGTTTCCTTCTTCACGTTGAGCTTTACGCACGCGTTCGCGAACCGCGCGAATCTTACCGTGGTAGCGTCGAATCGCCGGAAGAACATGGACCAGAATTCCCATCTTGCAGCATTTCTAATCGACGATGATACGTCGAATTTTCTCGCCGGTCATGCTGACTCGTCGAACAATATTTGAAAATATTTGCGATATATTTTTACATATAAATATAATAATAATAATATATATATTATTGTATTATTATATTTATATATATTATTATATTATTATTATATTATGATATATTCTATTATATTATTTTAGTTTTACTTTTTATAGTTGTTGACATTAATAATAATAATAATAGATATATTATATTTATATATATTATTATATTATTATATTTATATTATCATTCGAGCGGTTCGCAGGCCGGCCGGCGGCGGATAGAGCGAGCAGCGAAACGTAAGACGATAGGAAGCGACGGAAAACTGGTGTGAAATCGAAACTGATTCACCTATACCATTGAAACGTTAGTGCAGCGTACGGTGTCGTACGTAGGCAGATAGAGTCTACGACTACCATCATCGCGTCTCTGCGGTTATACCGATTTTTCCTTTGACAGACGTTTTTGAACGTACGCGCGCAATCCCATAGAAAGAGACTTGCAAAGAGAGCGTTACATACGCTCGTGTCGACCAAGACATTCGATGTACCCACGATGCTGAAAAATATTCCGTCGTGTTACGTTTACCAGTTTTAGCCGATCCGATCTATTCGAAAAAAAAAACGTACACGTGGCTGTTGTAACGCGGCTCAATTTACTTAATCGGCTTGTAAACAGGTATGGGCAGTTCGGAAAGTGGAGATACGATTAGTCGAGCTTTATATTATATATTATTATATTACATATAATATTATTGTTATTGTATTATGGCTAATATTATGTAATATTATTATTATATTATATATCATATTATATAATATTACTATTATATATATTTATTACATATATAATATTGTATAATATTATTATTGTTATTATTATTATTGTATTATATATATCATTTTATATACATTATTATTATATATACCACATATATATATATATATATATATATATATATATATATATATATATATATAAAATTATATAATATAAATTTCCACTATTATTCAATTCCATATTAAAAACTCAAAGGGCCCATCACGGTTTCAGAACAAATAAATTTAAAAAAAATATATTGTGATGACTATTATACCTTATTTTAGAATTATTGAGATTGCAAAGATGTTTACATCGGAAATTATCTGTGAGATTATTATCTATCTATTGCAACAAAGATGAGTCAAATAAACATCTCTTTATTCCTGTAATAATTTCAGTGAGTTGAAAATAATACATAGATGTTCTTAAATTCTTTTCGCATCTTCATTGTTTGAAATTTCGTCCACCCATTTTTATTGTAAATGCATAAAATCCGCAGTCTAGCAGTAACGATCGTGTAATAGATTTTTACGCGACAGCTTTTCGGCAAACATCCTCGTGCCACGATTTTAACGAAAATTGTNTATTATTATATATATTGATGATATATATAATTATTATTATATTATATATATCATTTTATATACATTATTATTATATATATATATAATATTATGTTATGCGACGTTCCAAACAAATTTCTCACACGTTCGTATTCCTTTATTTTCAAAGAAATCTCAAAAGTACTACAACCACTATATATAGACCCAATTTGTGCATAAATTGCACCAACGAATCGCATAAAATTGGAGCACTGTGCGCACATATCATCGAGAACTACACTTGGATTTAGAGTTGAAAATGGCGTCGAGTGCAGAGGGTTGATATTTCAACAGATTATTGCCGGCATATCTGAAGCATCGGTAACGGTTATGTTCGTAGAAACAAGCGGAACAAAATGCCGACAGTGACCCTATACTCGTTGGACGTGAGCCCGCCGGTCCGAGCTGTCATCTTAACGGCGAAGCTGATCGATCTACCCCTGAACAACCGCGATGTGAACCTTATAGAGAGGGAACAGATGTCGAAGGAGTTCAAGAAGGTACACGGGTTCCTATCGTAGAACATGCAACATATCTCGCGAGGGAAGCAATAATTGACTGAAACGTTTTTCTTTTTCTTTCGTTTTCCTTTTTTTTCACGGACAGGTGAATCCTACCTCCATGGTTCCAGCGATCGACGACAATGGGTTCACCCTCGGCGACAGGTAATCGATGAAACTCTCTTCCTAATTCGCGCTCAGATTGCCCACAAAAATGGACAATTTGGGAACAGGAGATACGATTATTTATTATTATATATTATTTATTTACTGTATTATTAATGATAAATATAATATGGTAATATGAAAATGATGTAATAAAAATATAATGATAAATATAATATAGTGTTATAATAATAATATAATAAAAATATAATATAATATCATTTTTATATTACTATATTATATTTATCATTATATTTTTATTATATCATTTTCATATTACTATATTATATTTATCATTATATTTTTATTATATCATTTTCATATTACTATATTATATTTATCATTATATTTTTATTATATCATTTTTATATTACTATATTATATCTATCATTATATTTTTATTATATTATTATTATATTACTATATTTATTCATTTTTATAGTTACCGATTGTCGACAACAGTAAAAACGAGTCGCGAGACTCGAGTAATCGTATCTCCTCCCCGCAAATTGTCCATTTTCGTGCGCAAATTGAGCGCGATTTCGGGAAAAATTACTGTATCCCCGTTAACAACGACGTTTATGAAATCTCCGCAGCCACGCCATCAGTTGCTATCTGGTGGGCAAGTACGCGAAGAACGATGCCCTGTACCCGAAGGATCTGCAAACACGGGCCCGAGTCGATCATTTCCTGCACTTGGACTCTATGCTTTTCATTCCCGCGAAGATGAGTTTCGTGAGTAGGAACGAGCAACTATACTACGTTCAAGGTGAACCGGCACGAAATGTAAACAGAACGTTCGCGTGATCGGTGCTGCAGTTGCAGCTGAGCGGCCGTTGGACGACGATGCTCGGGGACGAAAATTTTCGGGTGATTCCCGTCGAGAGAGAGAGAGAGAGAGAGAGAGAGAGAGAGAGAGAGAGAGAGAGATGGTCCATGCGAGCGCGGAGTACAGTAATGTCTCTCTAATTGACGCTCGGATTGACCAGAAAAATGGACAATTTGGGAAGAGGAGATACGATTATTCGAGGCTTGGCGGTTCGTTTTTATGGTTTCGAATTGTCAACAACTATAAATACGAGCTCTGCAAGGCTCGAATAACCGTATCTCCTCTTCTCAAATTGTCCATTTTTGTGCGCTTCCCTCATGGGACGGTCCTCCCTCTGAATGATCCTTCACGGGTGACAGGGGGGTTTTTCCAAGTCCTCTCTCCCCTCGCAGCTGTTTCTGCACCGACCATCGGTACCTGACATGGGCGTAAGCCTCGTTCAGGAGAGCCTGCCTTTAATTAGGCCTTTGGGCTGTAGAACACTCACTCGTTGTCCATTTTTGTGCACAATTTGAGCGTCAGTTGGGGAGACATCACTGTACACCTGTCTCTTATACACATCTAAACGATTATTCGAGCCTTGCGGTTTATTTTCATAGTTATAAATTGTCCACAATTATAAAAACGAGCGGCGCAAGGCTCGAATAATCGTTTAGATGTGTATAAGAGACAGGTGTACAGTGATGTCTCCCCAACTGACGCTCAAATTGTGCACAAAAACTGTCTCTTATACACATCTAAACGATTATTCGAGCCTTGCGGTTTATTTTCATAGTTATAAATTGTCCACAATTATAAAAACGAGCGGCGCAAGGCTCGAATAATCGTTTAGATGTGTATAAGAGACAGGTGTACAGTGATGTCTCCCCAACTGACGCTCAAATTGTGCACAAAAACTGTCTCTTATACACATCTAAACGATTATTCGAGCCTTGCGGTTTATTTTCATAGTTATAAATTGTCCACAATTATAAAAACGAGCGGCGCAAGGCTCGAATAATCGTTTAGATGTGTATAAGAGACAGGTGTACAGTGATGTCTCCCCAACTGACGCTCAAATTGTGCACAAAAACTGTCTCTTATACACATCTAAACGATTATTCGAGCCTTGCGGTTTATTTTCATAGTTATAAATTGTCCACAATTATAAAAACGAGCGGCGCAAGGCTCGAATAATCGTTTAGATGTGTATAAGAGACAGGTGTACAGTGATGTCTCCCCAACTGACGCTCAAATTGTGCACAAAAACTGTCTCTTATACACATCTAAACGATTATTCGAGCCTTGCGGTTTATTTTCATAGTTATAAATTGTCCACAATTATAAAAACGAGCGGCGCAAGGCTCGAATAATCGTTTAGATGTGTATAAGAGACAGGTGTACAGTGATGTCTCCCCAACTGACGCTCAAATTGTGCACAAAAACTGTCTCTTATACACATCTAAACGATTATTCGAGCCTTGCGGTTTATTTTCATAGTTATAAATTGTCCACAATTATAAAAACGAGCGGCGCAAGGCTCGAATAATCGTTTAGATGTGTATAAGAGACAGGTGTACAGTGATGTCTCCCCAACTGACGCTCAAATTGTGCACAAAAACTGTCTCTTATACACATCTAAACGATTATTCGAGCCTTGCGGTTTATTTTCATAGTTATAAATTGTCCACAATTATAAAAACGAGCGGCGCAAGGCTCGAATAATCGTTTAGATGTGTATAAGAGACAGGTGTACAGTGATGTCTCCCCAACTGACGCTCAAATTGTGCACAAAAACTGTCTCTTATACACATCTAAACGATTATTCGAGCCTTGCGGTTTATTTTTATAGTTATAAATTGTCCACAATTATAAAAACGAGCGGCGCAAGGCTCGAATAATCGTATCTTCTCTTCCCAAATTATCCGTTTCAGTGGACAATCTGAGCGTCAGTAGGGGAGACATTACTGTAATCTCGCGCAGAAGAGTCCGAAGATTCTGATTAACCGGGCCCTGGTCCCGGTCACGCGTCGTTCGGCTGTTTATATTTCGCAGTCGGCGTCTTGTCGGAGCTAAAAAACATTTCGCGAGTTTGTCGCGAGAATGGACGTACGCAGAAATAACGATGCCGGAAAAATTCGCGGATAACGATATACATATTTGTTGCGAATTATCGATATTGTTTACTTCTTTCGCTACGTTCTGAATAATGAGGGCAGGCACATGCGATAATGGCCTAACATGTTTTACTTAACGGTTGTTTTCTACTAAAAATATAGGATACATTTTTCCGGAATATTTTTCTACATAAAATCGGTTTGTTATATATTTTATTATTACACGTCGGTTTACAACAGACTTTGCCTGGCTCCGATCGGAACCAGAAGCGAGAACGATAGTTTTCAAATTTTTGGTAAATGGTATTTCCAGAGGTGTGTCGTATCTGGCATGCTAATACGGTAGATGCGGATGTTTATGCGCGATAAGAAAAAAATGCAGAACACGCGTGTGACGTTTATGCAGAAAAAATATGCGGAACGTGGCACGTGTCAAGTAAAATATCTTCGTTATTATTTCTGACGCAAACAAATGCGCCAGCACAACTATGATTAGATAATAAAGCCAAGCAATGTATTAATTCATGTTTTTTTCTTCGTTCTTTTAAAGTATATCTTTTTCGTATCGGCAAAAATAACGAAGTTATTCGAACGTGCAGGGCAAAAGAGTCACACCCTGTACAACCGCCGTGAACGGTATCCGGTCACGATGCAAGCGCAGATTAATTGAACTGAATTAATGGCAACGGCAATAATACAGGGTGGCCCGAAATTATCGTGAAACTTACGCAAAAGATATAGTTTTGCTTCAATAACTTCAAATATAATTAAAACGGCTGTCGCGGTTAAACTACTTACTATCCCGGCCCCGAAAAATTATCAAACAGTCTTCGGACATTCTAAAACAAGAGCGAACTGCGTTTTTCCCGAGAAAATCACTGTCACGCGGTGAACAAAAATTTCGAAAAGTTCACGCTCCGTGACTTGTTCGTTGCTTCGAACGCGGCTCGAAGCCGTCGCGCATCGCGACCGTGGCCGCGTTGCGCCGCTCGCCTCGCGCGACCGTCTTGCAGTTCGCGCGCTCGCCTCTCATTGATCACCGTTTTCCGTTAATAACACGCGAACGAAGCCGCGGATCGCATTTTCGCCGAGGAGAAAGTTACTTCGAATCGCCTCAGGAATCCACTGTTCCCCGGAAATACGATTATTTTCGAACATCCATTCACCGAATCATCCGATTATAATACAAACGTCCGTCCAGGTCTCCTCCCATCGGTGTGTACCTATTTTCTAAAAAAAAGACGCGCTCGCACGAACATCCACCACGGTCCGGTAATTAAAAATAATAATACCGCTAGGGGTTAATTCTCCGCGCAAGCTGCAGGCGGGTTCGAGATTTCGGCAACGGCGACGTATGCGTTCCCCGTGGAAGATGGGTGTGTTTCTCCACACGAGAAACACGGCCCGACGCGGCCCGGCCCGGCGGCCGATTAAGCCGCGCGAAAGCAGGTTAATGCGATTCGCTTTTCCGCGCTTCTATATATGTATGTATATATACTATACGCGCCGGGGCATTATGTGATAGAGGCAGGAAGTTACCGGGCGTCCTATCTGCCTTTTACGGCGTCCAATAAAGTCGGCTAACTGCGCATTTTTGCGCGGCGATGGGCCAACTATACCGGGGACTCGTTTCAGGACGCGCGCGCGCTCGCACCCCGAAGTGGCAGCCGGCTCGAACTAATTTAACGGGCGGGTGGGAAAGGGCGGCGCAGGGTGTCGCGAAATCTCTCAACGATCCTTCCTACGGCTCGGCGTTTTCTTATATTTTTCGGGGCGCGGGGGGACGCGAGGGCGGCGGCGACCGATGCGTTCCAATGCTTTCTTTGTCCCTCTTTGTCGCCTGGACCGGAAGCGGCGAGGATTTTTATTCGCGATTAAACGACGGCCAGGACACGGTAAAACTTTTACGGCCGCCCAATCGCTCCGACGATGTCTCTATTCCAGCGTGCCGCCACTTTTTGGCGCGCTTTCGTCGCGCTTTAGTTACAACCCCCGTCCGCGCGACTTTAATCAAACGCGTCCGTTCCGGCGAGCTCGTTCCGGCGCCCCTCTAGGGTTTCGGGGCCGGTTACTGTGGCGCACCCGATTACCGCGGCTCTTGTTCATTTAAAACAGGAGTTATATTTGTCATTCGAACGACGAGACGCGTCGTCGCATACTTTTTATTTCATTTCAATCGACCTTTTGCACTCGAGCGGCGACTCCGAGGCGTCGCTGGAAATTGTCGCGTCGCGATTTAACACTAAACCTACCAAGCGGTAATACTAACTGGCATGCACTGCTTCAAAAAAGTGAGAAGATCGAATTTATTTGGAATTTGTAAAGTTTTTATTATAAAACTTGCTCCAATAATATAACTTATTCGAGCGTTTTCCTCGAGAGAGTCTCGAAACTTTGCAGAATTGCAAAATAATAAAATAAATAATAAATAATAATAAATAATAAATAAATAAAAAATAAATAATAAAATAATAATAAAATAAATAATTGCAGAATTGCGGTCACTTTGACCGCGGTAGGTTTAGTGATAAAATCGTGTTCGCGTCGTCGAATTTACTTGTACTTGAAAATTTGCTGACACTGTAGATGCCGCGGTTTCTTTATGCGAAAGAGAAATTGCCCGCGAAAGAAAAATCGACAGCAAGATAGGTAAACATTTTTAGTTATTCTTCTTCAATCTGTTCTTCGTTTTATGCTGCATCAAGCTTACGGAAAAACAGAACAGAGATATTTGTTTCTAGCTTGAATTTGTTGCGTTTAGTAGCGAGAGCTCTCGACGGCTGCTAACAGGGCACTGTAATTGGCTCCTC